CCCCAAAACCCCAAAACCCCAAAACCCCGAGTGATAAGTATCAACGAATAAGTGTATTTTGAGATAATTAGATTAATTATAATAAAATAATGAGAAGCATTATCAAATTGCAAATACCACACTTACTCTTGCTTACAATACTTGTTTGTGTGGTGAGATCAGATATAACCCCGTGTGAAGAAGCATTTCTGAAGACTGTCTCAAATCAGACCTTCTTTCTGTAGTAGATTTATTACTCAGGAAAGTACTTCAATGACCTTGGCTAGTATAGGGATTGCTAAGAGTCAGATGGCCTGCAATACACCTTAGCAGTAGCACATAAAAACGCCTACGAATTATTTGATTACAAGTAATTATGGGCATTCTGCTTACCTTCCAAATGTAAAAAAACCGAGCTCATTGGCTTTAATTAGTTTCTGAATTCGTCTCTCAAGACTTTTAATAGTGAAGCAAGCAAAATAGAATATGTTTTCTCGAAATAAGACTTAGAATCAACTAGATCCTCTTAAAGTGTTGGATTTTATACTTTGATCGGTTTCTTTGTATTAAGTGCTTTACTCGGAATATTCGGTATCGTTATTGAATATACTAGTGTTGGATCTACACAGTTATCTTAGGAGGATACAAATTTCAACACAATCGATATTCCTATGGTCTAAGACGGTACTACAATGGACCAGTTAAGACAAATAATGATGATAAAGGATGAGCTCCTCAGAAACTCCAAAAGACTATGGGCATCAATCATTCTAAGCTTCAGTTTCACAAGAAACCTAAGGCTTTTATTTTATAAGTTCAAGATCTAGCAGCAATAAATGAGACATCGTAATGCTTTGTACCTAATACTTGCTTATGGCATCCTTTGGTATACGTTTTTCTCTTCAACCATGCTTGGCATTTTGATGTTCCCTAAGAACTTTCAGCAAATTAGCATTGAAATAAGTGGCGGTATGTATTTACTATTCCACGGCGGATAGTTATTTGGAATGAATATGATATTCTTGGCTTCTGGGTACATTATAGTAATATCATTGTTTGAATCCTCTACATTCAGACCCAGTAGATTTTAAGATTTAAACAGGAAAAAGAGGAATTCTATTGCTCCAATCGAAACTGAAGGTAATGAAGAGTCTTCTTAGAAAAGCTTTTATGAAAATAATAACTCTAAAGGTAATATTAAACTTAAAGAGGAAGAGGAGGAATTGATAGAGGGAAAATATCAAATAAAGAGAAGGCCATTTATGATTGTAGCCAGAATATTCAGGAGATATCTGAGATTCTTTATTCCATTACTTTTCACAACTCTCTCTATACTCTATGTGCTTCCATTTTTATCGAGTGGGCCAATATACCTCGTGGCTTTTAGATATGTTTTCTAGATACCATGCGAGGGTTCATGGTATTTGAACTTCCTTTTCGTTTAGAATTTGATGTACTGGACAACAGACTATGACAAGAGCAAGTGTTATCCTTATTTTACAGATGGAGTCCTGGCAACAGATGAATCACAGGCCTAAGTAACCAAGATTTCAGATTCAAGTTGTGCATATCAATGTGGCCCTTACCTGCAGATGTTTTCAAATCAGCTGTAGTTCTTTCTAATAGTTCCTTTGATTTTATACCTACATAAGTATTTTAGGAAAATATCATACTGTCTGGTAATCTTTAACATTATCTGCAGTATAGCAGTTACCTTCCTCATTTCATTCAATCAAGACATTCAGGCTTATGTCTTTGTCGAGAGAAGTTATGTCTCACTACTTCTTAATAGACCATGGTTTAGATACTCTTCATTTTAGACAGGTGTGCTTCTTGGAATGATTGTCGGCAGAATACACATTCTCAAGATAAATATAGCATTCAAGCGGAAACAGAAGTTAGGTCTCTATCTCACTGGGATGGTCTTGTGCTTCGTTAGCTTGATTACATTACAGTTGAATAACGGGTGCTTTGACAGCTAGAAATTATTGTATGAACAGCAAGGATGTTTCAGCAAGTTTGAAGCTGCACTTTACAATGCTATTGCCCCCTAAGTATTTAATTTTGGTTTGATATTGCTGATATTGCCTGCTATTCTTGCCCTCAACAACAAAAATTCTTAAAACTTCAGTTTGAGAATGATATTGACCTATGAGGGGTGGAGAGTCTTTTACAAATTAGCTACTACAATCTACATCAGCCATTTCATGGTCATATTCTGGTATTATGGTTCGATCTCTCAGACTGGATACCTGCTTAGTGAATGGGTTATCTTTAGAGTGGCAAACGGTGCTGTTGTGTTATCTACTATTATAGGTTTTGTGTTTTACCTTCTGATTGATAAGCCCTTCAGAAACATAGACAAAATGGTGCTGTTCCCAACCAAGATATCAGACTCTTTCTTGATAAAAAAGAACTAAAAGGGAAAAAAGATCAGCTTTGAAGATAAGCTGCAAAAAAGAGGAGGGGCGTCTCCCAATAAAGCCAATGATGGCCCAGGGTACATGAATGGGTCAAATATAGCAGAGCACCCTGAAGAACTAAACACTCACACCTAGGGTTCTGATGAGAGTGAAGATGAGACTACAGTGACTTTTAGAAAGGCAGCAAAGTATAGAGATAAGAATTAAAGAGATGAGAACCTCTATAAGATTTCCAGAGGCGATTCCTTATACTACCCAGGAAGTCAAGATAAACAGCATGAAGTTTATATGATATAGAATTCAAATGACTCTAGTTCAGGGTACTTCGGCACTTAGCAAGAGCAAATTAAGATGGGAAGGCACAATGCTATCAACAAGTCAGTATCTGATGACACTTATGATTTCAACTAAAGCTACTTGGAAGATAACAGTCTTAGTTCTAAAGTGCTAGGCAGTCGCAATAACGATGAAAAGCCTAAAAAGATTAGTAAGAAGTTCTCTATTAATGAAGAACAATTTTATTGAATTTGATTTTAACTATCCAATATTGATTTATTTTTGATTTAATGATCTTTTGCATTCTAATTTATTCTATTGGGGTTTTGGGGTTTTGGGGTTTTGGGG